CACCGTAATCTGAAATGCACTCTAATTCTTGAGCTTTTATTAGGCGATCGTAATCATTCACAGAATAGTCTTTGTTCACTTATTAGGCGACTGGGCAACGCACTCTAATTCTCGAGCTTTTATTAGGCGATCGTAACCATTCACAGAATAGTCTTTGTTCACTTTTATTAGGCGATTGGGGGCTTTGTTCGTTTTCATCAGGTGAGTAGGCGATCATAATCATTTACTGAATGGTCATCGTTTGCTTTTATTAGGCGATCATAATCATTCACTGAATGGTCTTTGTTCGTGGAGTTGGGGAACTATAGTAGTTGTTTGTGCCAGATAGGATATACGAATTCGGAATTGAATCAATCCTTAACTTCGTTCAGTCACTTCGGGACGGGATGGGCAGGCGGCATGTCTCTCGTCGTCTTCACTGAATTGATCATCTGAATGAACAGAAAAAGATCCGAACTCTGTTTGCTTCAGGATCGAAAAGGTCGGCCATTAAGGATCAAACATGACCGCCTAGTGTGAGAATGCTTTAAGGGAACAACCACACCACTCATGGAAAGATTTCGATTGGTTGAAGAACGCAACTCTCTCATATTGACATGGTAATTTAAAGAAATTAATTTTTCTAAGTGTTATTTTAAGACTTAAACTCTGAATTTATATTTGCTTACCAGTAAATTTTGATGATCAATTGATAATTTTTTACAGAAGAACATAACCTGAATTAAAAAAGAAAAAAGGGCTGACTGACTATGCAGTAGATAGTAGACACCATCACATGCTCTCAATTAAAATCAAGAAATTAATTTCAGAATCATCCAATTTGAAGCAAAATGAACAAAAATTACCATCCCTACAAAAGAAAACCTGTTCATCACAACCGGATCAAACCACAAACCCAACCAGTCGCACAAATCTCTTATACTTGTCCAGCCATAGCAAAATATTCTAATACCCATCTCATGCACCGGGAGCTGCGTCCTTTACCTTGCTCTGCAAATACCCACCATACTCTCTCGCATAATCCTTAACATGGCTTGCTGTGTCGTAAATCCGGCTCCGAGCATAGTCAACCCGTCCTGATCCTGGAGGGTTGAGCCCCTTGAAATAGCGGTACATCCAAGATAAGGTGGCCGCAACCACCACTCCAAAGCCACATATTGACAGGAATCCAGCGGCAGAGATGAAAATAACGGTACCCATGGAGACCCATATGGGGCTAGATATGAGCATCAAGGGGGCAAAGAAAATGAGGCCGACGATGGTGGTGACGGTGACCCCGGTGAGGAGGAGAAGAATGGAGCCTGAGATGAAGAAAGTGAAGAGACCCGAGTTTAGAGCATGGGAATGGAGTTTACGGAGAAAGGAGGCGATGGAGCCAGTGGAATTATTCGGCCTTGGGGCTCTCTGCTGGCTAGGGTTACGATCACGATCAGCCATGGTTGAGAGCTTCAACCTACCCTTGAAGATGGGAGAGGGAGGGTAAGGAGGGCAAATGGTGAGATTGAAGTATGTGTTCAAAGAAGGAGAAGATCAAGGCTGGTTGACAGGTGTTGTTCCGGGAAACATTCAGGGGACACGTAGAAATTCTTGCCGTTCTACAATATGGGTTACAGTCCACTGACTCTTTCTTCTGTGTAAATTTTAACTATATTATCTCACCCTATTATTAATTTTAGGGTGTATATATAAATTGAGTCACTGTTTTACTGTCAGAGTGATTTAGATTTTAGACTGTAAAATAAAAATAATTGAATAAAAAGATAATTCTAATATTAGGGTTATTTTTATTCAATAATTTCAATTGTATAATTCCAAACAATTAAAATTTCACAACATTTTTTTTATATAGATTTACCATAAAAAAGGAGTATTATAGTATAAATTTGTTATTCTACATTTTTCTTTTTCATTAAATTATCCAATGAAACAAACCAATTAATGGAAACCATGGAACATCATTTTAGTATTTTTTACACCTCTTTTTGAATAACATGGTTATCTATTTTTTACTACTAATTGTTCTTGTGAATATTCGTTAGTGACTAGTTTACATTAAGGTGATTGTAATTTAATTCTTTTAAAGGAATTGTTAATATAATAGGATTGTAACTTGTAAGTTAAATATTTCAGTCAATTTCCATAACATATGCACGTGCATACAGTGAAAGAAACGTCCTTATGATAGGTAAAAAACATCTCCAGAACCACCAGGAAAGCCCAAAACCCAAGACAAGATTATGCAGTATTCACCAGATCAGAAACTCAAATTGTAACAGCTCATTTGACGTTTAGAATTATTCATTAAATTTAAAATGTAAAGAATGGTTAAGATATAGATCAGATTAACTGTTAAAGAGAAATGTTATAAACAATATAAATCTTTTCAAAGATGATAAATCCATAATTGTAGTAAATGAAAAGCTTTCTTTACCCAATAATCCCCGCCCAAGCTGTGGACATTTCTATATCAGCAGATGCTCCTTCCGATACTCACGCACGATGACAGGCACACTAGTTGTTGGGATCTATAAAGAATGAATCGAAGAATGTTAAATCGTAAGATAATCTCAATTTGCTGGAAGGCATCAAGGACAGTGATCCCACCACCCAAATAGTTGACATAAATATGAATATTCTCAAAGGCAAGAAAAAGGAAAGGAGAAACAAAATCCTAATAAAGAAAAATTTAGTACTGGTGATGAGTGGATGATCCCTTTATCAAGGACTTTAGCAGTAAGCTTTCAGTTTCGAATTTATCAAGGACTTTAGCAGTAAGCTTTCAGTTTCGAAGGCAAGGCAACATATGCAGCATGATACATACAGCAGAACAAGACTGCTATTACATTTTAAATATGGACCGAGAACAAGCTATTAAACTCCTTTCAAGAGTATTTATCATTCTCTACAAACATGTAAGCATCTAAGTAAACACAGACAAGCTAGTTCTCATCTAAAAACAGAACCCAAAGTCTAAGGTAAACTTGCACAATCAAACAATCCAAGGGATTTTATCATATATTAAATAGAACATAAAAGCCTGAGTTTAGAAGTCTTTTTATGGAAGAAAATATAGCCACAAAGAAAGGTAATATGATTAATTATTAAACACTTCCTAACTCAACCAAATTCCAGATGGATGCTTTTTTCCTAGAATTAAAAATCCCAAAGAATGTCAAATTAAAGTCCAAGGTGCTACACCAACAACTTTGTCAGCTCGGAAGCTAAAACTTTCAATCTTTTATTTGTCCAAGAAAACATCAATAATAGAGAGCCTCACTGTTTAGTTTCAGTTGTGCTCATCCCACACAACTAATTATTCACAGTATTCACTAAGTAATGTGCCAACTATAAATGATGATCACTCAACCTAGCTCAACTAAGCCTTATTCCAAAAATAGGTCAGGTTGGCAACATGAATCCAGTCTTTAAAATCTAGGGCTGCTATGTTGGGGGGAAAAAGATAGGAATGTCAAGGATTTCCAAGAATGCCTTTTGCTTTCACGATAAAAAACAAATACTTAAATTTGAATCATTTCACCAAAATGACTTACCATGCCATATTCTGTGACAATCATTGAGATGTAATCTGAAGGAGTAGCATCATACCTACAGAGTGACAATATCAAGATGATAAGAGTTCAGTATAATTCACAATTTAAAGAACAAAGGTTCTGAATCATTGCATTCCAGGACATGAGGTATCTGAGGCATACTTTAAATTCAGAAGTTGGAGACTTTCTTTGTCAGTCGAATTATCCAGATGCTTAACTTCAGGTCTTCCAGGGACCCTGGCAATATCATTTGGATCACCTAATATTGCCAAACACAGATTAAGTCTTTCTCAAAACAAAGGTTAAAATAGCTAGATTAAAATAAAAGGGAGTTTGGGTTAACCAATTTAAACACCAAAATGCAAGTAATGAACTTACCTAGTTCATTAAAGCAGATTGAATCAAGCTGAACCCTTTCATGAAATTTATAAGCTTCACAACAGACCAACACTGGAACACGGAATTCATGGGCAACCATTGCGACAAGTGCAGTCCCTACCCTTGAATATACAGTTCCATTGGCTAATACTGAGGAAGCCCCTAGAAAAACTCTTGTGACTTCATGCATGATATAGGAAACATCAACTATATGAGCATATGTACACCTCAGGCCCTTTGCTACCAGCCTCTTCAATAGCTTTTGACCTTCAAGCTGACGTGAGTCTATCACCACAACACGAAACTGTTTCCCTAATTCATGGGCATGTAATAGAATCATTTCAACAACACACGATGATCCATATGTCAGAAGAACATCACCATCCCTTATCTTAGTTGCAGCATGTCTAACTATCACCTTATCAGCAAGCACTATCTTCTCATTTATGAAACGGTCAATGTCCGAACAAAGGGCAGCTTTTGCTTCCAATTCAGAGAGATTTAAAGGTAACTTTGCAATGTGAATCTTCAGAAACCTAATTGCATTTCCCATACTCATAGAAAGTGGCCGGCATTCAGTCAAAAAAGAAACATAACTGTTAATTTTGGCAGTTAAGTCTCTAATGAGGGTCTTTTCTGGTGGTGTGGAATAATCTCTAATAGCTTCCTGAAATGCTTGAAGCATTGCAATACAGCGTGCATTACCACCAGTTATATCTCCTGCCAAATACTGTAACCCAACCTGCCAATTTCACATATAAATCATCATAAAGAAACTGCATAATTCCTATAACTTATAAATGATGGTTAGGATTAAATGTTTCATTTTTCTTTTTTCTTTTTTTTTTTTAACAAATAGTTTTATTTCTAAGATAGCTGTTCAGGATATGTGAAGTATTCAAGTTTTGTCCCATGAAACAATTCCCCACATCAAGAAGAAGAATGGGCCATAAGCTTGAAAATGAAAAGCATTAAAAATATTAAACACACATCAAATTTAGAAAATCAAAAAGAGGTTGGTCATGAAGTTGAGAAATCTCAACCCCTGATACACTGCTGTGCACCATTTTATATCCTAACAGTTAGTGCATTTGCATTGTAGAGATCAACATTCTCAAGTCTCAACATAGATATTTAATTTAAAATCAAAATTATGATTCTTTAG